GCACGCGGAATGAGGGTTCGGCAGATCCTGGGCAATGCAGTAACCGTGCTTCAGAATCAAAGGGTTATTTCAACACACCGCGGTTGACTCCTACCTTCAACACAACACGACATTCCTGGGGAGGTTTCTTCCTCCCTCCAGATCCTTCCAACATATAAGGTAACAAATAAAAAAGAAGTAGGTCTTTTTTTTCTTTTTTTTTTTTTTTTTTAACTTTCACCCAGGGGTGCCCTCTCAGTCCCAAACTCTGCGTGCCTGTGTATTCCCTCCTTAACACAAGGGTAAGGATTCTTATCGCTTTCCATCCACACTATCTGACAAACGATTTTTTAACCTCATAGTTTAGAGTCAACGCCAAACCTTAATTCGGATATTTTAAAAATCTTCAAACACTAAGTTGCTAGAAAATTTTAAAAAACAAAATATGTAACCCAACCCAAATGACACCTTTAGAATGTTATTTTGACCTACACCACCGATTGCTGTCACCACCCTTTAGCCAATATGAACAAGGAGCAAACTCTCCCACCCCTGGACTGCATCTCCATTCTCACCCACCCACTTTGATCCACTGCCTCAGTAGGTTTTAATTAGGGGAAGAGAACTGAACATTTGGGCCACGATGTACACTCCCGTGCCCCGACAGATTCCTTTCAATAAAAATCTGAGAGTGCCTTCAAAAAACCCACTCCCTTCATCAAGTCCAGATTACCACAGAGGCTTTTGTATTTTGAGTATATATTTTACGAACCAAGATCAGCAAGCCTCCCAGCTGATGAGAAAGGAATTTCAACAAACCAAATAATCGAAGTAAATAAGCGTCAGAGAGATCAAAGAAGAAAAGAGGGAGAGAAAAGCACAGAAGAGGAAAAAATAGATACACACAGAGGTTTCCTTCTGTAGGCTGATGGAAGGAAAAAAAACAACAACAACTAAAAAGTGTGACAAACTGAAAAAAGCTTTTTCGATATTTGTGTGCATGATCCATAAATCTCTTAAAAGGTGTCTCGCCGCTAAAATAATGCAATTAACAGCTCTGCGATCAGGCTGGGCTTTGGCAAAGCAACCTGGAAGACTTGTCGGAACCTCACCTCCCAGGTGCTTTGTCTAGGATGTTTTACACGACACAAATAACGTGCAACAAAGGAGCTGCTTTCTAATTTTACATACGCTTCAAGACCCAAGCAATTACATATTTAATCAACAGTCACATCTCGAAACTATGTTTTAAAGGAGAAACACAGAAAGCTCTCAAAAAGAAAGCAGCCCCGCACGCCTGCCCCCCCCCACCTTTAACGTGTAACTATCAATGTATATCAACCGGGCATGCAATCATATTTATTGTCACTTTCATTCATGTCATGCCCTTGCTTCTATGGTTTAGATATGAATTATTGACTGTTACACTCCTTGTTGTAAAAAATAAATAAATAAATGGGATGTCAGGTACTTTGCACTGCTCTAAAGCAAGCGAGAAAGTCCGGAGCGTAGCGGAAGCTCCGCTTTACGTGACCCCCCGCCCCCGTATTTCTGCCCTGGTTTCAGATTGCCTTCTCAACTCTTTTTTTTTTTTTTTTCCGTACATAGAAGAGATTTACCCACTTTGGAAAATTAAGGATTAAAATAAACCAACAAGAGGATGATGTCCTTCCCAGAGCATCTGCTGCTTAAGAATACCTCTGATTGATGACTGCTATTTTTTAATTGTTGCTTTAAAATTTAAATGCCCTCCTGGGATGTGTTATAAGTGTGTGAGTCCATGATATGAGGTCTAGAAAGTAGAAAAACAACAGCGTGAGTGATCTCATGGTATTATATTCTTCTAAAGCCAACGATTCTCCCTGCTATAAAATCATAGGCCACTCAAATACCGATAAGCTAATGTTGTCTAGCCCTTTCCACAGAGGTATTTGACCACATTCTCTGTTAAGAACCTCTAGTCTGCTGCTTTGTGTAATTACCCCCAAAAAAAATTTAGAAAAGGAACTTTAAACAGTTTATTCCCCTCCCTCACATGCCCAACTCAAAAAAAAAAACAAAACAAAAAAAAACACTAAGGTTTTAAATATGAGTCCACATACATTCCTCAGGAAATAAACTTTTGCTTTCATATTCCCCCAAAGACACACCATTCTCTAAATTTCCCTTTAGAACCCATATTTTAGCCCCAATTTCAAAAAGGCTGGAAATAGAGCTAAGAAAAATAAACCAGAAATGTTTGATAATAACTGTCAAAGAAACTTGATGTTTCCTTTAAAGAAAGCAGGGATAGGACTTCCTACTGGGGTATGCGGCCACAACGCACTCTATCTCTACAGCACTTTTATTCTGAAATTTCAATATTTAACTATAGGTTCAGGACTGCTGGTTAAGTGATTCAACTGGCCAAAGAAAATGCTTAAATGTTGGAATCTCATTCCTACCTGTTTTTTCTTTGATTTCACACAACACATTAAACAAGGCGGGCTTCATTCTGTGGCAGTTTAAAGCATGTTTTCTGCAAGAAAGAAACAACACGATAGTTTAGGTGGACTCTTAAGATAATGCATGGGGGTGGCAGGGGGGGGAATTTTGAACGTCTAGTCAAAATTATATACCACGCATAACCCTGTGGCATGCTTCAATTGTTTTTACGACTTAATATACAGAGTCCCGCCACAGAAAAAGAAATCATGTTAATTAGCAGGGAGAGAGTAGGGATTTAACTACAGAATAGAACTAACCTAAATTATGCCCACTTACAGAAACGTTATTATTTTGTGTGTGTGTGTGTGTGCGTGCGCGTGTGTGTGTGTAGCTTAATCAAAGTAGATTTTTAAACCAAGAATCTTATTCAGGACAATGAATACAGCAAAGCCAAGAGCACAGGTTAACAGTTTTGTATAATCTATGCAAGGACCACAGCCTAGTAGCTGTCTGCTTCTCAGTCTGTGTGTGTGTGTGTGTGTGTGTGTGTGTGTGTGTTTTCAAATTTAATTCATCCATGTGTTCGAATTCATTCCACAGATGCCCCTGTATTCTCATAAACACAAGATGCTTGAAAGGTCTTCTGAGTAGCACTGTCAATTTATAAAATTTCAGTCCCCAAGTTAAAGAGTATGGAAATGCATTGCCAGGGGGCAGACATACCCATATGGGGGATAAATTCATTTCTCTGTGTTCACATTATGCCTCTTGCGCACACACCGCTTATTTGCAGGTGTTGAAATTCAATTATTTACAATTAGGACCTTGCACCCATTGGGGAAAAAATAAATACAATTCTGCCTTTTAGATTAGTGATTTACCTGGTTCCTCTGTGTGTGTGCGTGTGTGTGTGTGTGTGTGTGTGTGTTTGTGCGCTCATAATACATTTGAGGGACAAAACAATACCTTTCCCTCTATTTTATTATGGGTTCACTTAACAGAATAATACTGTTTTAAAAACAAAATACTGATCATATCAGCTATTAGTTAAAGAGAATTCTGTTCATTCGCTAAAATTAATGTGTAAAGATAAATAAAAACCCTTGGCATTCAAACCACTTGCAATTTTTTTTAAATCCCTTTGAAAGTTAAAAAATAGACACACATCCTTATAAAGAACAGTGATCAAAAGCATGCGCCCTTCCAGGAGTAATGAACTCAAAATTCAAGAGTATCAGAATGAACACATACACTGTCTCTAAAAATACTAATGGCTTACTTTGTAAATAAATATACATTATAAAAGTGTGTCTAGGGAAAGGAAAAAAGGGGTAAGGTATATGCCAAGTAGTTACATTGTTTAACACACACACACACACACACACACACACACACACACACACAGAGAAACACAGAAAGCTCTCAAAAAGAAAGCAGCCCCGCACGCCTGCCCCCCCCCACCTTTAACGTGTAACTATCAATGTATATCAACCGGGCATGCAATCATATTTATTGTCACTTTCATTCATGTCATGCCCTTGCTTCTATGGTTTAGATATGAATTATTGACTGTTACACTCCTTGTTGTAAAAAATAAATAAATAAATGGGATGTCAGGTACTTTGCACTGCTCTAAAGCAAGCGAGAAAGTCCGGAGCGTAGCGGAAGCTCCGCTTTACGTGACCCCCCGCCCCCGTATTTCTGCCCTGGTTTCAGATTGCCTTCTCAACTCTTTTTTTTTTTTTTTTCCGTACATAGAAGAGATTTACCCACTTTGGAAAATTAAGGATTAAAATAAACCAACAAGAGGATGATGTCCTTCCCAGAGCATCTGCTGCTTAAGAATACCTCTGATTGATGACTGCTATTTTTTAATTGTTGCTTTAAAATTTAAATGCCCTCCTGGGATGTGTTATAAGTGTGTGAGTCCATGATATGAGGTCTAGAAAGTAGAAAAACAACAGCGTGAGTGATCTCATGGTATTATATTCTTCTAAAGCCAACGATTCTCCCTGCTATAAAATCATAGGCCACTCAAATACCGATAAGCTAATGTTGTCTAGCCCTTTCCACAGAGGTATTTGACCACATTCTCTGTTAAGAACCTCTAGTCTGCTGCTTTGTGTAATTACCCCCAAAAAAAATTTAGAAAAGGAACTTTAAACAGTTTATTCCCCTCCCTCACATGCCCAACTCAAAAAAAAAAACAAAACAAAAAAAAACACTAAGGTTTTAAATATGAGTCCACATACATTCCTCAGGAAATAAACTTTTGCTTTCATATTCCCCCAAAGACACACCATTCTCTAAATTTCCCTTTAGAACCCATATTTTAGCCCCAATTTCAAAAAGGCTGGAAATAGAGCTAAGAAAAATAAACCAGAAATGTTTGATAATAACTGTCAAAGAAACTTGATGTTTCCTTTAAAGAAAGCAGGGATAGGACTTCCTACTGGGGTATGCGGCCACAACGCACTCTATCTCTACAGCACTTTTATTCTGAAATTTCAATATTTAACTATAGGTTCAGGACTGCTGGTTAAGTGATTCAACTGGCCAAAGAAAATGCTTAAATGTTGGAATCTCATTCCTACCTGTTTTTTCTTTGATTTCACACAACACATTAAACAAGGCGGGCTTCATTCTGTGGCAGTTTAAAGCATGTTTTCTGCAAGAAAGAAACAACACGATAGTTTAGGTGGACTCTTAAGATAATGCATGGGGGTGGCAGGGGGGGGAATTTTGAACGTCTAGTCAAAATTATATACCACGCATAACCCTGTGGCATGCTTCAATTGTTTTTACGACTTAATATACAGAGTCCCGCCACAGAAAAAGAAATCATGTTAATTAGCAGGGAGAGAGTAGGGATTTAACTACAGAATAGAACTAACCTAAATTATGCCCACTTACAGAAACGTTATTATTTTGTGTGTGTGTGTGTGTGCGTGCGCGTGTGTGTGTGTAGCTTAATCAAAGTAGATTTTTAAACCAAGAATCTTATTCAGGACAATGAATACAGCAAAGCCAAGAGCACAGGTTAACAGTTTTGTATAATCTATGCAAGGACCACAGCCTAGTAGCTGTCTGCTTCTCAGTCTGTGTGTGTGTGTGTGTGTGTGTGTGTGTGTGTGTTTTCAAATTTAATTCATCCATGTGTTCGAATTCATTCCACAGATGCCCCTGTATTCTCATAAACACAAGATGCTTGAAAGGTCTTCTGAGTAGCACTGTCAATTTATAAAATTTCAGTCCCCAAGTTAAAGAGTATGGAAATGCATTGCCAGGGGGCAGACATACCCATATGGGGGATAAATTCATTTCTCTGTGTTCACATTATGCCTCTTGCGCACACACCGCTTATTTGCAGGTGTTGAAATTCAATTATTTACAATTAGGACCTTGCACCCATTGGGGAAAAAATAAATACAATTCTGCCTTTTAGATTAGTGATTTACCTGGTTCCTCTGTGTGTGTGCGTGTGTGTGTGTGTGTGTGTGTGTGTTTGTGCGCTCATAATACATTTGAGGGACAAAACAATACCTTTCCCTCTATTTTATTATGGGTTCACTTAACAGAATAATACTGTTTTAAAAACAAAATACTGATCATATCAGCTATTAGTTAAAGAGAATTCTGTTCATTCGCTAAAATTAATGTGTAAAGATAAATAAAAACCCTTGGCATTCAAACCACTTGCAATTTTTTTTAAATCCCTTTGAAAGTTAAAAAATAGACACACATCCTTATAAAGAACAGTGATCAAAAGCATGCGCCCTTCCAGGAGTAATGAACTCAAAATTCAAGAGTATCAGAATGAACACATACACTGTCTCTAAAAATACTAATGGCTTACTTTGTAAATAAATATACATTATAAAAGTGTGTCTAGGGAAAGGAAAAAAGGGGTAAGGTATATGCCAAGTAGTTACATTGTTTAACACACACACACACACACACACACACACACACACACACACACAAAGCTTAGGGGTGATTTACTCAGTTCTCATATGGGGTGGAAACAATTTTAATATATTAATGACCTTCCCTGGGTCTTTTCAGGAGTTTTCATTAATTATATTCTCATATACAGGCCCGAATGCAAACAAAAATCCCCACATGGCTTTACAGAAATACTGTTATTTCTGCAGCACATAAAGGGGGTTATAAAACAGAAAATCGCCCCATTCCAAAATTGCATCTGAGTTCTCTCCACTTCTAGCCCATTAAAAGAGAACATCTCCAAGTCATGTCTGTCCTCAGTTTCACAAAACACAGTGGGTCTAGACCTCAGAAAAGTACCATCTAGTCCGACGGCCCCTTCCACTTCACACAAACTTGTTATGAAACCGGTTTATTAGTATGTCTGAGTGTATGTTTCTCGAACAATGTAATGGAGAAATCTCTCCCAATTCAAAAGACAATTGCCAAAGGGAGGTCTTCCACCTCCCATTCCTATTATTCAGACACTAAAATTTTGAAAGAGCACTGGCTAAGTCTTGAAATCCTTTCCCTA